GATCAAATGATCATGTAATGTAAAAGAAGTAACTAAATCACAGAGAATTATCAACAAACTCTACAGTACCCCTCAGTGTTTATTTTTCGTATATATCAATTCTTTTTAGCGTTTTAGAGTCTTTTAGCTCACTGTTTTGGTTTTACAGCCCTTAACTTCACTGTTTCTCTGACCACTCCCATCAACATCAACAGGAGACTGAATATTGGACTTACATTCATTGGGTAGCCAGAAACACGACCACAAAGGAGTGCTAATTTTGCACAGAGCCTGCTATGTGTGTTTGTTGGCACATTTGCAACTTGTATTATGTTAGTGTTATTCAAGCTCCAGCTCCATCTCCTGGGGCATCCCAAGCCAAATGAGATATATAATCTCTTGAGCATGTTCTGGGTCTACCCCGTGGCCTCCAGCCTGTGCCATGTGCCGAGAAAACCTCCAAAGGAAGGCACCAAGGAGGTATCCCGATCAGGTTCCCTAAATACCTGAACTGGTTCCTTTCAACCGTAAACAGCAGCCGCTCTACTCCGAGCTCCCTCCGGATGTCTGAGCTGCTTACCCTTGCCCTGATGGTGAGCCCAGAAACTCAGGAGTATTGTGAATGCTAGCTCTCTGACACACTGTCAAGAGGTACTGGGACCACTTGAAGGGAACGGAGCCATTGTTAAAGTCAAAATGGCTGCTGTGAAAAAAGACAACAACAGAGGTAAGTTCAGTGCACCAAACGTCAACACATCCTTTAAGACTGCTCATTACTGGCACACCTAATGAGCTAATGCCACTTCCTCCACTACAGTGTAAGACATCTGCAAAATGAAACATGTTTTACATGTCTTACTGAAGGCTGCAGGTGTATACACCTCACCAGCATCCTCATTTGCCATATCATCTTCATAAGGTGATATTATGTCAGTGTTAGCACACAGTTGCCTATTTTCACATCCAGCAGGGAGAGAGCAAAATGAACATTCATTTGAAGTCCTGTTTCTTGGTAATTTCTTGACACATGACAAGTACAGACTGCAACACATAGTTTAAGTGGCCAGTAATGTCATTGGTGCTCAAACATGAGAGCTTTTCAAAAGTTTCCCCTCCATCCGTTGTATGGAGATTTGAACTTTCTCCCGCTCCGACAGGGATTCAGAATACCAAGGCAAGGTGTAACAAAGTGGTGGAATGGTTATGAGTCAGCTAATATGTATAATTGATCCTAAAATAAGAAGACATGACATTTTTAAACAGGTGATATAGACCGAATATTTACAGGTAGATTATTCCAGTTGGATTTCTTAGCTATTGACTTAGAGACTGGGCTATGCAGGTATTGTAAACTGTTTGAAGTCGTGAGGGTAACTGAAATGTATTCATTTATAAATATGTATACTACACAGTTAATTTCTTTTCACTTTTAATAAAACAATTAATAAATTAAGTTTTTATTAGTTTTGACTGCAATGTGATTTCAGTTGGATGTCAATGAGACACAGAATTATTAATTATATATTCCATTTAGATGCCAGTATTTTTTCCAAATGTTATAAATATGTTCTCCATATCACAAAGCTAAATTCACTTTAGCACAATGGAGACATAAAACAAACCTTTACTGCTGTACTTTGGCAAGAGATCAAGCAAACACTTTTTGAGGCCAGTAATGCTGCATCTTATACTTGTTGGGTGCAATTTATTGTATACATATATACTATATAACCAGCCAGATGAGTAAACATAACCTCCACCCTCTTCACAGCACACCTTTTGTTCTAATGTATTCTCTGTGGAGGAGCTGGTCCGTAACAGCGAGCTGTATATCTGACTCAACACTTAGGTTATAACTGTCAGAGAGATGCTGTAAAAACCCCAGTGACACACACATACAGTATACTTACTGGAGCAGAAGCGAGCTCCAGCTGAGACACAAACCAATATAAGTGCATTTCAAATTGTTTGGACTCTTGCCTGGAGCAAAGTTTTCATGGTTTAGTATATATTTTAGAGTAAGGGTGTGTCTTCTGGGACAGATGCAGTGAGCAGGAGATTGTTCACTAAAGAATAGCCTGTAGACATTCGCTCAGTGTACATTTATGAGACACTAAAAAGAGAAAGAGATGGGAAAGGGAGAAAAGGTGGGGCAGAGATGTGTGTGCAGGAAGTTTATCTCTTGACTTCCGAGTGTGTGTTTTGTAGGTGTGTCTGGTGTCCGTTTACCCTTGGGTGCCTTGAGGGAGCAGCAGAACTTATAGAGAGGCTATTGGCATTTCACTGTTCACTGCTCCCACTCCGACCAAGCACAGCCTCCACCACGCAACAAAAAGAAGAAGTCTGTGTAAAATAAAACAGCCTGAGTTATCCTCTTCCTATGCTTGTTGTCTACATTCTCCCATATAGTGTGGTTTAGTTAATGACTACAGGTGATAAGTACGTGTGCATGTAAGCTATTCAGGCAAGCCATGAAAGATTTTTTACAGGATTTAATACGATAGGCCCCTGCACTGTTTTTTTTCCCCTAAAATATATAGCTTCATCCAAAATGATGAAATGACTTTACTTTCTACTCTCTGACAGAAGCAATAAGATAACTAAATAGTTCCATCTATCCATTTTCTGTCAGTTATCTGGGGCCAGGTAAGCAAGGTTGTTGCAACTTGTATTATGTCAGTGTTATTCAAGCTCCAGCTCCATCTCCTGGCAAGTCCACACTTCCCTCTCCCAGTGCTGTAGTCAAGACAACTTTTGTCCAGTCCAAGACAAATGCAAGACCAGGACTAGTCGGAGCAGAGTCAAGTCAGAGGTTTGAGTCAAGAAACAGATCCATATGAGAGAGACAAAGTCAAGATAGAGACAAAAAAAAAAAAAATGCTTTTTGCTGTTGCCAATGTAGTGAGTTTGGACTCAGGTGGTATATGGTGTGTGAAAACTTACACCTCTCGCAGGGATTATAGGGTGGTGATTAAAAGTATAACACTCTGCTTTCCACTGGTCCAGACATGCGGTTGAAATCAATACCACAATATTGAAAGTAATCTTTAATAATACAAATACACGTATATCACATGGTTAATGTACGCAAAATCACATTTAAATCTATCTTTTTAATTTATTAAAAATCAAATCATTTATTGGCTTATTGCAAACATATCAGTACCAGGCACCAATAACTCTTTTATTGTACACATGAACAAGCAGACATTGTCTTAAGATAGACTTGAAAAAAAATGTTAACCCATCCTTTAAGTCTGCTCATTATAGGCACACCTAGTGAGCTAATCTGCCACTTCCTCATCTAAGGTGTAAGAAATTAAACATGTTATTCATGTGTACGGCTCACCAGCATCCTCATGTTCTGACACCATACATTTGACCCACTGTGCGTGTTACTGTCGGTGACAGTGTTTATGACAGTGTATTTGCTGAATGGACGTGCTTGTGGACAGTTAACGCGTCTCCCTGTTATTCTTTATGGCTGTAGCAGCTTTTTCATGCTGAAAAGTGGAGACGTTAATCCAGCAGGCTGCTGGGAAACTTTCCCCGTGGTTGGTCCTGATGTCTTCAGCAATGGATAGGTGATTTAAGCTCCCAGGAGTATTCTTAAGCTCAGCTGTCATATGGGTATATCACTGCAAGCTGTAACGCATCCAGATGGATCTCTTTTGGGAGATATTTGTTCACTCTTTGCAAACCAGACCTTCAAAGTGTTTTGTACACTGATGTGAAAATGAAGACTCACGGGGGGGCAGCTCCTCTGGCCCACCAGTGACCTAAAACCAGGATGTATGCTTACCAGAAGCATGGTAGACGATTCCACAGCGTTGTACTAGTCCATGGTGCTGCTAAGAGGTTCTCACCCCAAACTGCAGACTATATATGGGCCGGAGGCGGCTAATACCTGGCCCCCTGAAAATGATGCACTGCTGTGTAGCAGAGAGAGAAATCTGCCACTTGTGTGAGTAACTTCTATGACTGACAACAAACTTCTCTCCTCTGTCGTCGCATAACAAAAAAAGTTTTAAGAGAAAAAAATAAATTATAACAAAAAAACTCAATTTTCCCCCAGGGGCATCATTTCTGAAAGGTCTGGCTCCAGTTGTGGGGAAGACAGCGTTTTCTGTTTGCTAGCTGACTGACTGTGACTGAACATCCATCTTTCTTCTCTTCTGACATTTGGACAAAAATCCCTTCAGCAGTTTGGAGACATAAAGCAAGCTACTGATCTGTAACCAAATCAAAGTCCTCTGCTGTCGCTCTATTCTGCTCAACGCAACAGAGAATCAATTCTGTGAGAGCAAAAGGCATCTATAGACCAAAACAAAAGAAACCCTAGTAGTTTAAGGGCACAGCACCAGGGCTCAGGTGGTATATGGTGTGAAAACGTACACCTCTCGCAGGGATTATAGGGTGGTGATTAAAAGTATAACACTCTGCTTTCCACTGGTCCAGACATGCGGTGAACACTGGATGTAATAAAACACTATGTTTCCCCATTTGCTTCTCACACTGATAACTTGGATTTGAACTTCACGGTGTCTTCAAGCACAGATGGTGCACGAGGAAAACACAGCTCTAACTGTGGCAGGTATAAAATCAAACTGTTAATACAACACAAACACTCACTTTCTGTTCTGATACAGGGTAGCTCGTGTGTCTTGCTGTTTCAGAAAACAAAACATCTAAAAAGGTGGTCATTTAAAGTGCTGTCGAAAAGAGAAGATAAGTGATGTGGAGCATTTAAATTCATTCGTAAACACAGCACTGATGGCATTTACGAGAGCCACAGTGGAGGTTGTAGTGGGAGAAGAAAACATACATTAAATAAAGGCTCGTATAGAAGCAAAAACAGATTATTAGACTTAGGCTATTATTAATGAACACATTATCGGAGTACTCTGTTACAAACAAACAGGGGATAGACGTCCTGGTTTGTGTTTCCTTCTTTGAATTGATTTCTCTGCTCCCCTAAATTCCATCGTACTGTCGATCTTACAGAATCAAAGTCACACCGGTTTGTTTCCAGGAGAAAAGTTTAATCCTTGTCATAGTGAACATGGTGAGTCCAGAGCTGCTGTAGTGATCACAGCTGTTTGATACATGAAAACAAAACACCAGCCATGTTTGGGTCACATGTTGGACATACTGCACAGTGGCTACTCAAAACAAGATATCTGAATATAGGCTACTGACTGAACTTCTGTTCATCACTATCACAATGCATCATTAGTAGCTTACATGATTATAGGAAACTCCACTCAGCTCGGGAAACCAAATACAGTATCCCTGGTCTAGGACGGACCAAATAAATATTTGTTTACTCAATTATCGACCGGTTACCGAGTTACCGGTCAGACATTTCAGAGTAGAGCAGAATATGGTAAAAAAAAAAAGATATCGATCAGTTCTGGTAAAATGAGAGCAGTAAGGGGATTTTTGGAGGAACACTTAATACCGAATATCACAGGTTCAAATCCTGTGGCTGCCCAATAAAAACCAGGATTTTTTTCTGATAAATTGAAGGATTACCTGTGTCTTTGTGAGTGAAGGAAACCTCTCTACTTTATAAACTAAAGAAATCATTTAAAAACTCATAGGATCATCTGGAAAATGCATCGGCACAAAACATGGCCCTCACAGTAACAAGGGTCGTCCAGAACCAGCGATACTGCGCATGGACTCGTAAACTGAGTGGGATTTCCTAGCAATTCTGTGGCAGTGAAAAGTAGTAACATATTCTTGGGAGAGTTTTCAAGAAGCAGGCATACACAGTTGGCTACTCTGCAACATTTACTGTTCAACAAACCGGTGATAATATTGATAATAGGCGTTTACCACAAGCAGCGGAGCCTTTGGCCAATGTCAACATTTCAGAAAACTGCATGAAATGGCCAGATTCAACATTTCAAACAAGTGTCAGCATGTTTGACTGCAAAACAAAAACCAAAAAGAAAAACTTTTCAACATAACAATTCCGCACGACTACATCATCAAACAGTGAGCCTGCCGCTTGAAATCTCCCACTACAGCATAGAAAACTAAACCCAACAAAAACCTACAACTGCCACATTATTGAAAATTAACACCAATATTCAGGTTAGGACCTGCTTGCTCATGAAAACGTGGTTAAACTGATGCATAACAGCCTGCCGTCGCAGCGCTGCGTTTGTTCCACACACAGTTTAAAGTGCAGAACTGTGATGAACTGTGTGTGACGTAAAGCACGTCCAAACACGTTGTGTTGCACCTGTGAAATAAATCCGTCATTCTCAGCGTGAGGCCTGAAATGTCTGATTCCCAAGTTGATCTATAATGACTTTACATTTTTCTTCCCCATATCTGGAAAGATGAACACCCATATAAAATATAATTAAGAAAAAAAAAAAAAGATAATCACAGTGCAATAAATTCTGATAAGATTCATCCAAATCAATTTCACCATCTACTCAAACTGTGTCCGTCTCCACCTCTGTTTCACACTGAGCTGAGATCAGTTATTCGACCATGGACCAATTAGAATCCGTGCTGCACTGTAACTGTCCTCCAGCAGGTGGTGCCATTACCCTGTGCTGAATAAAAAGCACCTCCATAACAAAAACCAAAACTATCAATCACTGATTACTACAGAGGGGGTTGTTACTTTACCAATGCATATACGCTTGAGAATTATATCAGTGTGGCCCGTTCTTTTGATAACAAACAGGGATAAATCTACTTTACTGCATTTGTCCTAGTCTGCCGTCATGAAAACTACAGTGACTTTGTTGCAGGACACAGGTCAGACTTTGAAATGTAAAGCATTCTCCTCCATTTAAATGAGAAAACAGCTCTCCAATGTTATGTAACTTAGTAAAAAACGTAAATCCTCAAGTTTAATGTACTCCAAAAACATCCTTTGGCTAGAGTTCTGTCCTATGCAATATAAATGACTGACAGTCCAACAGTTTCTATTAACATTTCTGAACTGAACCGGGGCCTCGGTGCTGCCTAAGCTGTAGTAAATCTATCACCCAGAGGCGATGAGTATCTCAAATGGAGGTCTGAAAAATTGTGTCGGTTCTGACATAAAATATTTACTGAGCTGGAATTTTTAATGCGACACTGAACTTATTTCTTGCATTATGAGCTTGAGCCTTGCTGCGGCCCCTCTGACGGTTGCATTTAGGAAAAAACGACATCAGATTTCTCTTATAACTCGACTTTGGTGAAGGAAGTTATACTAAAATCGTCCACAGTAGATTGCTGGCTCCAGTATTGAGTGCCAACACTTTAATAAGTGCAATGTTAGTGTTACGACCCAGGCTATAAACACACAATTTCCCACTTTTTGTGGAAAAAGGGAAGGTAATCTAGGATTTTAAAAGCAGTATGTTTGTATTAGATTTCATTCTCAAATCTCCAGAGTACAACAGACAGCATTTAGGATTACTTTCAAATGACTACAATTCACTTTAAAACGTTTTCTTAGTGTCATTAAAAGACCAAAACCAACAATTTATGTATCTACTAACAAGTATTGTGTGTGTATCACAGCCTGGTTGATCTTCTCCCTCCCTCCCTCCCTCCTGCGCCATAGCGCTCCATTTCTGTCCAAAAACTATTCAAATGAACCACAATGCACTGAGTGACAGGTTCCTTCATTACCACACCCACACCCACCCACACACCCACACACACCCACACCCACCCACACACCCACACACACCCACACACACACACACACACACACACACACACACACACACACACACACACACACACACCTTAATCCGCACTAAAAATAGTCTCCTCCTGTTGTCATTGTCTAAGAATTGCAGTGCCCAGCTGTGTGGAGAAATTACGGAGCCCTTTTTAAAAAATGAAAATATATGCTTTTTAAAATGTAAGACTACAGTAGGTATGAAGAGATTTGTGTCTGAGTACCACAGACAGGGTAGGAAAGCTACTGAAGGACAGACGCATTGTTGGTTTGGATCTTTTCATGAGATTCATTGACAATCACAGAAATATAGAACACTGGCAGCATTATCCTTTAAAGCTCCTACAAGTTCCCACTTCTGAGGTAAAGCTTGTTGCGTATTATTAAACACAGTATATGACACTGATATGGTCTCAGTATGCTTCAAACGAATCACTTGTTCTATCATCTAACAGTGTCTAAAATAAGTGCAACGTTTTGTAACTTTCATCAATCGTTACGTAGTTAAATCTGGGAGCTAATGTGAGCTAAATAATAGCTCATTTTCATCAATCCTACAAGTCTAGCACATAACATTTGTAGGTACAGGAACGGAGAAAGTTATTGGACGGCAAAAAGGGGCGGGTCTTGAGATGGGAGAGGCAGTGAGATGTAGCCATGTGTACGTTATGACAGCAGACCTCTGCCATTTGGCATAACAGGGATAAACTGGGGATGCACAGTATATCTGTGGCTGAGATATCAGCCGCCAACAAGCCGTCAGATAATGGACTCAGTCCATAATTACATCTGATAATGCAAAGCCTTGAGTTAGTCTGAAGCATAGTGAGGCCTTTAGGTTTCAGCACTGGAGCCAACAATAAACCAGCGACACGATTGGATGATTCGAGTTCTTCCTACTGAGGGGTTAAGTTTCGTAACAGACAGCATCCGGTAACAGACAGCAGGGACTTCCTCACACATGTCCTTGTAATGAAATCCATCTTCCCTGGTGACCATTATTGGTGATATTAATTGTTTTTCCTCTCTGGGTGTCCAGCCTAAACGCAGACTTTCAGGAGAGAACTGCCTGACAGCTCTCTACTGTTTAATGCTACACATGAAGCCTAGAGACGTTAGACATAAGTTGAGATGTTCGCTTCGAAGCCTAAAGCAGAGTAGAAAAACAATGAGAGATTTACCTCTGACAGACAGTATGCAATGTCTTTAGGAAATAATCAATCTCACACACTGAACAGAAGGTTCGCTGGTCCACTGGCTGTTTTAACTCGTTGAGGGCGGTGGTCAGTAGCCAGGATTTAGGGGCTAGCATTCAAGAACACGGGAAGGTGACAGACTTTCAGTCCCCTCTTCCAGTGACACGATGAACACTTTAGAAATGTGAGCTAATCTCCCCCAAGATGAGTTCCAGCCAAATCAGATGTCCCAGAGCGCGAGGCCTGGAGGATGAGCATGGGGAGGTTGCAGGAGAAGGACCGACCTCTCCAAACTGGAAGTTTAATGGTACTCGGTAGATGTCTGCTCTCAGTGCACTTCAGGGTGACAGCGGTCAATCAATGAAGACAGCCAGGTTACTCCAAAGTTAATAATGACCTCAGAGGGGGGTTGGGGATGAACTAGAGTTCAAAGTTCCTCTTTCCGTCTCGTCTCCCCCCACGTCTTTCTCATCCTCGCGTGAATTACAGCGTCTCTTTTGGAGGCACGAGAGTCGGTGAAAAGAGGCATCCATTGCAGCGTGATGAGGGGTGTGTGAGAGCGTGTGTGTGGGGTTGGGAGAGGGGGTTGGTGTTACCATATGTGGGATTCACAGTGAGTCATTTTAATGACGCCCACCCCTCCACCTAGCCGGCGGTAGTTCATTCCTCCGTACAACCTGAAAAGAGTGAGTGAGAGTCAAATGATGAGGAAGGAAGAGTTCAGTTCTATGCTCAGTTGTTCTGGTACTCAGAGGAAGACAAGCTAGACTGAGAAAGTGAAAATGAATTGGGGATTCTATGAAGGAGATTAGTTGGCCTGTACTTAAAAAGTCTCTTCTCGAGTGTATGTGATATCACTCAGTCTAATTAAGTCAGGTTGATTTGTTGTGGCATGGATTGACTTCTAAATCTACCCCGCCAGGAGATGTGCCATTAGAATCTCAGTCTATTATGTCTTGTCTTTACTTTTATTATTTCTTTAAGCACTTTCATGCACAACACTGACTCTCATTACATGGACGTGGCTTGGGTTTAAAAAGTCAGACAAGCAGAAAACAATAATCTTCTAATAATGTTGGACGGCAGTGGTTGCAAAGGGCGGTAAGACGAGCAATCTTTTCTATTACCACAAATCAAAACACATTCTTTTTGCACAATAAATGGTCCTAAAAACATCTCTGGTAGTCCAGTTGGAGTACTTTGAGTACCATGCAGTTGCCATACCAGTGTTTTACCCCTTCAGAAGCATTCATATTGAAATTTTAGGAAAAACAAGTATATAAATCCGAGGCCATACTGCCCTACAGCTAAATATCCAATCCAATATTTGTTCACCCATAGTTGTCAATAGTGATATCAATATGCTTTACAGACGAGTCAAAAAAAAGCATATTGCAAAATTCGACAACTTCAAACAACAAAATTCTGTAGAAATCTCTTTCCAGAAACAGAAAGTACTTATTATGAAAGCTGTTGACAGTTTTTTTCTATTCCTAATCTGACAAGTTGCGTTAAGTGACTTACTCTCATAAAATCACAACTCATAAACAACTACATTCTGAATACACAGTAAAAATGGTGATGGATGAATTGTATGTTGGACCTAAGACTGCAAGTTTTATTTCTGGATTTGGAATAAAAAAAGAAAAAGAAAAATGAAGGCAGCTGTAACCCCCACTGTATGCAAACAGGTGTAGTCTGTGAATGGGCATGTGATACTAAAAGGTTCACACAGCAGAAAGTCAACTGCCAATGTGAATTACATACATTGTCAATTACCTCAACAAGTACAGGAAAATAATCGCCAACTATATTGATCATCAGTCATTTTCTATGCAAAAATGGAGGGAGATGCTGTTTTCAGCCTGGAGATTTTACTGATTTTCTCTATACCTTTATATCACATTAAACTGAAAATCTCTGGGTTTTGGACTGACAAAAGACTTCACCTTGGACTTGGAGAAACTGGGACGGGCATTTTTCACTATATAGAAAAGAAATCTAGAAAATGATCGGCCAATTAATCGATATTTAAAATACTTGTTAGTTGAATCCCAATTACTATGTAAAATTAGCCACAGCAAATGGAAAGCTGCACCTTTATTTTAAGCCGGTGCTGTAGTAAACAGGGTAATATAGTAATGCAAAGCTAATAATCTTACTAATCATTACTAAACATCACTTAATAGAAACATGTTTGGAGAGACAGTAAGTTGTAGCATGTATTAGAGAGAAGATGTACATGAAATCTTGCTGTGTCCAATATCTCCAGGTTAAAAAGGGCTGAATCATATTGAACAGATTGATATTGTACAGACTACAGAGCACACCAGTTGCCCCATTGACTTATTATTCTGCACGGATATCATTACAGCTGCAGTAACATTCAATCTGAACACATTTATGTACACATACTGAGTCATCCTTTTACAGTAGCACTTACCTCCACGTGTTGGCATCGGGGTCGTAGACTTCTATAGTTTTAAGATACGTCGTCCCATCGAAGCCCCCCACTGCCATCAGCTGACCGTTCACCACAGCCAGACCCACCTACAGACACACACCAGCACACTTCAGCCTCACACAGATTGAGCTTTGATAACCATCTCAGTGCTTTAAACCAATGCAAAAAAACACACACGCACACAGACACACACGCACACAGACACACACGCACTGACCCCGCTCCGTCTGGACGTCATGGCCACTACAGGAGACCACTGGTTGGTCCTGGGGTTGTATCGCTCTGCACTGCTCAGCTCTGTGGTGTCGTCCCTCCCTCCGACAGAGTAAATCATGTCCTGGTAGACCGCGCAGCCAAGGTGCTTCCTCCTGGTTCCCATGGGGGACACCGTGTGCCAGCGGTTCTCTTGAGGGTTGTAGCGCTCCACTGAGATGGAGAGAAAGAAAAAGAAAAAGAAGATGATTACAGTTAACATTTTAACAGCAAACTAACCACATAGTGGACAGACAGCTGAAATAGGTCTATGGTTACTTTTACTTCCATCTTTCGTGGTGATCTTTAACAGCACTATTCTCTTCCCAACTAATGTCCCATTGAGCTGCAGTTCTGAATGCACGGCCCCACCCTGCATTGTGTCTCACACTCTCTGACACTCTATGAAAACTTTGCCCTCAGATGTTTCAAACCATTATTTTCAAATAGCACACAAAAAGATGGAAACCCTGAATATTTAGTTGCCTACCCAAAGCAGCCATTACCAGTCTCAGATGACACAGTCTTCAGTTAGTTCAGTTCAGCTCAGTTAGGGCTGTAGGAATACTGATACACTTGAGTATTGCAATATTATCTTTTGTGTCACTGTATCAATTAGCAAAGAAACTATCACTTTTTAATCGTTTACCTGCATTATGATTAGTAATTGCATATAAACATTAACTTCCACAAACCTCTAACTAATTCTAACAGGTTTCTACCTTTCTACCTAACCATCATTCTTGTCACAGCTCTGGGTCAATTTAAGACTGTGCTTATTGCCTGACTCAGTCCAATACCTGTATTTAATGGTGACGTCCCATCAGACCCTCCTACAGCGTACAGGAACCCCCCCAGCACAGCCACAGCTACACCCAGTCGCCTGGTGCTCATGGAGGCCACACGGGTCCATTTGTTCTCCTTAGGATCATACCTGAAGCATAAGAAGGATGCAGTTCTATTAGATAGAGCTTATACATTGCATTACTTTGGCATTCAAAGAGTCAATACAGCAAGTTGTACAACATCTGTGTGAAATCTGCGTGTAAGTAAGTGTGTTCTGACAGATACCGTTCTACAATGTTGAGACAGGAAACCCCATCCTGTCCTCCTACAGCATACAGATAACCACCGAGGACAGCCACTCCCACACTGGTCCGACAAGTGCTAGTGGGGGCCACATCACTGCTCCACTGGTTGGTCTTAGGATCATATCTGGACAGGAGAGATGAAAGAGTAACTAGCAGCTATATCTTTTGTTTTTTATTTAGCAAAACAGAAAGACAGGGGCATGAACTCTCCGGATGAAGCTTGACTGATGATGCCAGACCTTTCCACCGAGTTGAGGTACGACGAGCCGTCATGACCTCCCACTGCGTACAGCAAGTCATCCAGAACGCTGACACCGACTCCGCATCGCCGTTTACTCATCGACGCCACCATCCGCCACTCGTTGGTCTGTGGGTCGTAGCGCTCCACGCTGGAAATGGCGTCACCGCTGCACCAGCCTCCGACTACAAGACGAGGAGACACAGGGGAACTTTTTAACAATCCTCCACACAGATTACTACACGTCTACTTATCTGATGCGAGGGAAGCCCTGGTTTTAACTTACTGCCTGAAGGTACTGACCTGCAAAGAGCACTTCTCCACAGCGGATGGGTTTCCTGGGCCGGGTTCTGGGGCCCTGCATCAATGGCCTCTCCTGTGGCAGCAGCAGGTAATTCTTAGCCTCGTCAACCAGGTCTCTGAAACAACAGGAGAAGGGTATGATGAATGTATGTCAATCATAAATCAAGGTGTACGTATTAGAGATTGCCCAATATGTTTTTTTCAGGGCCAATACAGATACTGGTTATGAGTAATCAAGGAACCGATACACATTTTCAGTAATAATAATCTTTGTGTCAGAATTTAGAATAACCAGTGGTGGATTGTAACTAAGTACACTTACTCAAGTACAGCAAATATTGTACTTTTTACTCCACCACTTTTATTTGATAACTTCAGTTACTAGTTACTTTTCAGATTAATCAACTAATAAATGATTATGTATTATTATAGTATAACATAATCAAAATTAGCTCCACAGTTACAAGCTGCAACATTAAAGTGATAAACACATTAATGCATCAATATAATCCAGTAATATAGTATATATTATTTTTTAATAGGCCATTCATTCTGCACTTTTGATTTTGGGACTTTATTAGGGCTGCACAATATGGTAATCATACTACCACATCATATTGCCATTATGTTGACAGATATTGAGATGCAATCAGATTCACAATTAGTGTTGGAATGATAATTATTGCATCACAAATTGAATTTTCTAATAAAACAATAAATATTATAAATGAAAAATAAAATCATAATGATGTGGGTTAGGGTTAGGGTTTTTGGGCGGTCTGTATCAAACAAATCTACATCTTGAATATGTAGAATAAGATTTGTAAAACCAGGGCATCTCTGCAGAACTAGAGTATGTCATTATAATGCTGTTTTATATCATTTTACCATTATCAAAACATTTTACATATATTGTGTTTTAATTTGCATATTGCAATGGCCATACAGTGATTTTGTTAATATTTCAGTTAACTGTGCAGCCCTAGACTGGAGAATGCTGACTGTACATCACTGTCTCATCATCATATAAAAAGGTCAATGTTTCTCTCTCAGTATTTGTAGCTCAACATTTAGAAGAAAATAGAAAAAAAGAAAGAAAAAGTTCAGGAATGTCTTGCAGCAGCATTTTGCCACCAAAAACATTTAAACGGTTGACTAGCAAACAGCACTCACCTGCACTCCTCGTCACTCTTAATGAGAGGGTCTGACCCGACGGTGCCCACCAGGAACTTGGGGCTGAGCAGCGGCAGACGGACGTGCTGCAGGACCTACAGGGCACAGGAAATCCACGTCAGTCCCAAAGTCTTCTCCTGCTACCACAGAAGTCTGAAGTACGGCTGGATTGTACACCAAGAACAATACTGCCAACACAAGCAGGAGGAGTATTTCTACAGACCTGGGGAAGCTGCGGTCTGCGTTCCTGGATGCTGTATTTCACCCAGGCCATCACTGCGTTGAAAACCTGCTCCTCGCTCCGCACGTTGAGCTCATCGCTGGAAATGATGTCTATCAACTGGTTGGCAGGCAGCAGCATGAACTCTTCACTTTCCATTACCTAAGCGGCAGAGCAGAACAGTCAGTCAGCAGCTCTGCCACAAAGACAGAACAGCCAGTTCTCCTCACACACTGAATCCATCGGGTGTCAAAACCACGCCATCACTACAATGTCATCACACTGCTGATTGTCTTCCTTTTTCTTTGAGCATTTTAAGTTCATTGTGACACACAGCACCTAAAAATCCTGCTCTACAAATCCTGTGTGTTGAAAGACATCTTGACATTAAATAGCAAGAGAAGCACAGGTAGACTTAATAGCATTAATAACACTGGCTGCATGTTATTTAGCTTGAGCAGTTCCAGGGCTCTGGTATTAAGCAGAGTACGACTGACTGGGAGGCTTAACCAGAACACGCTCATTAACGTTAATTAGTCCCACCTGTGCTGTCCCTGCTATGCCAAGTTGAAGTAGCTGCCTGGAAAATGTCTATTGCAAAGGTTAGCTATCAAAATCATCTAAAACAATCCTTTGATCAAAAGTCTATTCTATTAATCCGCCGATCACTGCAGCCCTACAACTGTTTATCAATGCAGATTAGTTTCCAGTGTTTTCAGCACAACTAAAAAACCTTCACTGAATTTAGAAAGAATGCAGAATGTGGCTGAATGTGTCTCTACCAAGCCTATATGGACAGGAACATTCACGATACCACTCCTCCATATATGTTGGAGCTACAATTCCATTGTTTTTGCAACTAAAATAGAACAGTGTTTGTACTGTCCATCACATTCAGTCACTATCTGAAAAATAAGGCGATGCATTTTCCATCCAAAGCCATCAGTCTGCCTCCTGTATCCAGAAGTCTAATCGGACCATGGAAGTGAAAACAGCAGTGTGGATAGATCCCGGCTGTGGAGGTTCTGTTCAGCTGCGGTGACTATGTAACCATTCCATTTAGGCTATATGCACTAATACAGGGTTTGCACGTTTCAGCAGCTTACATTTAAGGCTTTTTCCAAAAATATCCTAATATCAGTTTCAATATTAAACAATTTATCATATTATCATCAGTTGCAAAGACCCTAAAAAAGGACTGAAAACTAAAAACATGCTTTTGTATAATTTCATAAAATATTATGTCCTATATTTTTCAGTACAGTATAATGCAGTAGAATTCAATACTGTTGATAAGTAAATGTACTTCATCTATACAATCAATTTTTAAGACCTGTCAAAATCATTTAAAGACATTTAAGGTCTAAAAATCAATTCACTGGAGACTCCATGGACACCCTGAACTAGTGTTCTGTAATTGTTTTGTATTTTATAATTATAATAATTATGAAATGTAGATTCCTACTTTGTGTATTCAAAATGAAGTATATGTAACCACTATGAACGCTTTCTGGATGACAACAGACTCAACTCACCTCTAACATGATGTGTCTGTGAATAGTCAACAGATTCTGCCAATAGGAGAACATCAACAAAAACAAATTACAGGAAGAGTGAGTCTATATGCGTTAGTCACATAATCTGTGGTTTGTCAGAAAGTCAGAAACCTCTCAATCATTACCGGAGGCAGCAAAGACAAGAGTCAGATGAAAGATAAGAAGATCGTCTGTGTAACTGAAGCCTGTTTGCCCTTCTCTACCGACTCACAAACTGCCTGTCAAAATTAAAGTCTCTGGATGAAGGATTCTGAATGGTTTCAAATATCTATGTGCTAATTAATTATTATTGACCTATAGCTAGCTGCACATGGCAAGATGTCCGTATAATAACAGGGGACTAATACAGTAACAAAAGTGTCCCATCAGTTTTTACCAAATCGGCATCAACACACACACACACACACACACACACACACACACACACACACACACACACACACCATTTATTCTGAAAAGCAGAGTGCTGTGAAGACACTTGTAAATGTGATGCTGTGTCAGCTCCCCTCTTCTTCTGTGCTGTGTCAGCACAAAACTCAGGTCACACTTCTCCAACTGATCTAGACTAGAATTATTCAACAGACTGTCTGGGCTTCTTCCATATTTACAATCCATACGAAACTATTCTGTCAAACCCGCGATGGCACCAACAACTGTACTGGTCACTGTGTGCACACAGCCTGAGGATAGGAAAAAGGTAAACAGTGCTGGAGGAAGATGCAGACAACAAAGCAACTAAACAGTGAGCGTGTGACATGACTTCCTGCTGATCACATTAGGTTGTGTGTAAACACAGACTTGTGCTCGATTCCGCATGATTCCTGTAAGCGAGGTTAGCAGTTTAAGGGTCCGTGTTAGTGCTATGTTCCTGCAGTAACCAGATTCCAGAGCTTTTAACTATGTTTTTACAAACACACATGCACACACATGCATGCACAGCAAAGACTAAAGACAAGGAAGAGAGTAATGTTGCATTCACATTGAATCAGGCAAACGGCAAATGGCAAATGGCAAACCGGATGTGATGTTGGTGGATGAGAGCAGGATGGTAAACTTCCTCTGCAGGGGTATTTAAAACCAGAGGTTGCATAGCTCCCCTCACAGAACGAATAAACATGGGCACTCTGGATGTGACACTAATAATTAACAAATGACCTCAAATAATATACACAATCATTTTATTTAACATATTTATTCCATTCTTTGTAAACGTTACATCACCATAGCAACATATCATAGCGTGTTTTGTTTTGCCGTCCTGCCATTCTGTGGGACTGTGTGTTTTTCCTGCGCTGTGAGGAATGTGCTGTCTGTCTGCCTGAATCCATGTGAACACAGCCCAACTCTGACAGCAGTGTGTGAGCGTTCATCTTCTTGCATCTAAATGTACCTGTATGGTTATTGCAAGGTACAAAATGTGACTTCTTACCTCCTGAAAATTGTGCTGGGTGAACTTGTCTGCGATGCGGAGCAGCTCGCGGCAGGAGTGCGTGTCTGCGAAGGCCCTGATGCCCAGACAGTTGGAGGGATCCAGCTGTCTCTTGAGGAACTCGCAGCAGGCCTCCTGGATCTCAGCCAGCTGGAGAAGGCAGGCGGCAGGGAGCAGCGTCTGGACATTTCCTTCCTCTACAGTCACCTAGGATTGGGGGAGGTCAGGATATCTGAGACTGCTTCACATACTCGTATAGCAATGAAAGCTGCTGCTGGTGAGCCACTTGAGCGAGACTTGTTGTCTGTGGAGTTTCTCTCATCTCAGCTGTGGAACCCTGCAGCTCCTTCTCTTCAACTTTCAATGAGGGTGCTGTGGGTTCTTTTATATTTAAGATGCAGTTTTATCCTGTAAACTGACTGAGTGAAACCACCGTGATTACACACAGAGAATCTCAATTCATTTGCACAGATTTGTTTTTTTACACTGTAAAATATTCCACCACTATAACACACCACCAATCCCTAAAGCTGAATATCAATAACAGTGTCCACGGCTGCTGTTGTTACCTGTGAGGTGTAGGCAAAGTCAATGAGCAGCTCCATGGCTCTCTCATCGATGTCGCGGATTACCACTTCGGTCTGCCTGCTCTCTGCCAGCTCTCCAGTGAACATCGCCCTGAAGAGAACATGGACAACAACATCAACACAAACATACTCCCCCTGCGCTCTGATGTTAACTCATGTGCCGGTGGATTCATTTCCAAACGTGAGCTGAACACACAGCTTGGTACCTGAAGTAGGGGCTGCAGGCGGACAGGATCACGCGGTGAGCGTAAATCTTCTTGGCGCCCACCACCAGCACCACGTCGCAGAGCTCCCGGTGTTTTCTCAGAAGGTTGATCACCTCAAGGGTCTGCCGCGGGTGTTTGTCTGAGACGTAGGGCATGCGCGCGGGCTGGGGGACCCCTTCAGGGAGCTTGTTGGGGTCCCCCAGAGTACAGCGGCTGGTAATGTCCATTCCAGTGGCGTCTTGGCGTGCGCTGGTGGCCCTAAACATCAACCAGATGGGCAACGATTAAGAGAGTAAATATATCCTCAGTTTACACTTGGAAACATTTGTGTAGGATGTAGATCACAAACAGTGCAGTAGCCAAGAAAAACTTTCTATTGAACTATGTTTCTTCTTTTCTTTTTGCTTTAATCCAATCAGGTACTTTAGACATGGTGGTGTTCTTCTGAATACATTATATATGTTGATATATGTAGTGTACCAACGAATCCAAAGCCCCCCTCATCATTACACACACCTGACCTGTCTCAGTCTGTGGGTGTCAGCTGAACCAAATATAGTTGGGTCATTGGCACTAGACAGCCAGTGTAAACTTATCTACGCCGGTCAGTTCACCCAGCGTACCCTACGTGTTGTAGAGCAGTGGCTACAGGACCATTTTGGTTCTGGGACGTTGAATCGCTTCAGATCATGTTCCCACTACCAGCCAACACCCCCCCCCCATCATCTGGACACATCTACCACAACATGTGGTGTATTCATTATGGGAAGAAGAAATTATGTGTTCACTTGGAGACTATTACTATGGTAACAGGGTCCAAAATTAGCTTCCATCAAGCCCCAAATGCAGGTAAATTTTGGGTTTGCCAGAATGATGAATTGGGGTTAATGATTTGGTCACAGGGTAGGGTCGTGTTTACATCACTGTGTTTAATGTGCATCGGCTGAAACTAATGTGACCCTCACTGTGCACCGTACCTATCGTGATGTCAGCAAATCCAATCAAAGCAGTGTATTTGGCCACATTCTCCACAATGTCTAAGTTTTTGGTGTAAGAAACGTGTTTTGTGTTGTTAGAGAGATGAAAACACATTCCACATGATGATGAAGAGAAAAGTCAGGGAAGTGGTGTACCCATAATGTTACATATTTACTTAAAGATCGCCCTCCAGAAATGTAAAATCTGCTTGGAACAATAATGTGTGTCTGATATGTTGTTCCTGCAAACAAATGTATCATTTCCACATTAAAATCCTTGAAAAGACATCTCCTCCTTCTACCTCATTAAAACTTCCAGAATATCTGAATATGCAAATGTTGCTCATTTCTGAAGTTTTCTAAAGTATGTGCACTGGTGGCTTTAAGTTTCTACATCACACCTGTGGAAGTTGCATACTGGATCATAGGTGGTGTACACAGAGCAGTGCAGAAGCAGCAGCAGGGCAGGGTGTGAACGTTACAAACGCAGTCTTGTCTCAAAATGACCCAACCACAAAACTAACAGCGCTGTCAGCAGCCCGACAGAAACCCTGCGGTGCGCTAGGATTTTTACACTTTTACTGTCTATGACTGTGCAGAAATGTGATGTTTTCACCTTACAGGCATAAAAACATGGGTCTGACAGTTAAAACACGAGATTAATGTAGGCTGATATAGGAGTCGAGCATACATTGCTAAATTTTCTATTTGTTTTGGTTTGGAACAACAAAGCCAGTTAGCAGGAGTTTGCCTTTCTCCTGCTAACTTCATGTGAATGATATACTGCATTAAATATACAATCTACAAGCTCATCCCTTACAGTTACTTTATACAAAAGGTAAGTATTTGTGAGCTGCTTACTAAATGAGCACAAAATCTTCCAGTAAATCACCACGTCTGTCTCTTTCTCCGAGTATCGTGCAAGGGAATCCATTAAGTGCTATTTTTAGCTTTGAGTTGTGGACCTAGAGTTGGTGGTTCCCCCTAATTGCAATGGCACTTGATTATTTTTAAAATGTGTGTGTTTCTCGGACCATGAAAAGAACGGTTCAGAACTCCTGCTCAACATCATCCCTCCACCTAACTCTCTATTGGCCATTAACATGTCAGAGGACACACACACTGACCACAGGCTTAAATTGAAGGTTTAGCCATGCAAAAGGGCTGGGATCAGATCCACCCAGTCCTCTGGGGGTTGGAGGCATAAGACTAGTCGTTGAGTATAGCCCCCAGTCTTTGATCAAAGGCAACCTGTGTACAGAAGGGATTTGTCTGCCTTGTAGATGAGCTTATGTGGTGACATAACAGGACGGGTGCCACTGAGTCATTGGGGGTTCACACAAGTTCTTTTCCATTATTGTAGTGGATGGTTAGACATCTTTCCCTCCTCAGTGTAAAAGATTGACCTCTTTCAGCCTAGATGGACAGTAAACACCCGCCACAGAGACAATAAATCTGAGGACCGCTCTTTTTAACAGTCTAGAAAGAGTCTGGAAACAATACTCGCAGATTATTCATTCTGCTGAAGGATCATACAAACATTCTTTCACATGTTTCACATTCAATACCACACCTACCTGCGCATTGGCTTTGCGTCCATGCACTGAAGAACAATGTTTGGTCCCACACCTTGAGTTTACCTACAAAGTCAACAAATGTAACAGGAGAAGTTTAGAAATTGCATGTGAACGTAGCAGTGTGTCTTTCACATGTTGTACATTTAGTTTTTAATATCTGGCTTTATGTTTACTTTTGAGAAACGTGCTCCGTGTGCTTATGAAAAGGCTTCAACTCTTCCTGTGAGGGCACACCGACTGCTTTTTCACTGTAGGTTAGGCCACAAACTCGCCCTGATACTTTTCAGAATTTGATCTCTCAGCAAGACTGAGATCAGATCGATGTGCTCCCTTACACTGAGTCACCAGTTTATTAGACACACCTGTACAGTTCCTTTGTACACCTGTTCTATTGCAATCAATTGTCATCGCCCTGCAATAAGAACCCATTGTGAAATGTATGATTAGGGCTGCACAATTAATCAAACTTCATTTATTATCAAAATCCCAATGTGCAATATGAAAATCGCAGAAGCTGACATTTTTGGATGAAGGTCAAATGTGACAAAACCGCGCTCGTAATATCTGTCAATATAATAGCAATATGAGGTATTTACCATATCGTAGCACTCTTTATGATGTACAGTTTTGCTGACAGTGTATAAAACATGTGTTACATTAACTCTGTGGCCATGTAGAGACTATAATTATGTAGTGATGCTTCTGCTTTTGGAGTTGGATACATTGTAAAACACATTTCGATATAACGCAGGCCCAGATTCGAGTACAGTCCTCTGACACAGTACTCACAAAATCAATTTACACCACAAGGTCCCAATTTTTTGCAAGTAGGGGTGTAATTTATTAGTCCTAAATCAGTCGGTTTGGTACGCCCAGTGACCTAGTGGTCTATTTTACGTCTACATACTCGCACATGTGGAGCAGAAAGCACAAGTTTCGACAGTGTACCAGCTGTTGTATATCAGATGTACAATGTTAGCCGAAGCAGTGTTAGGGTTGCTGCCATTCAAATAGCAAACACATATGATAAACAATTAGTGTCAAACTGCATGCTGACACAGTCAAACAACAGCTACGTCAGTAAAGCTGTGACAGCTGCCTACTAACTCATGAGCTACTGTTAAATCCTTACAGCTTTCAAAATAAGTGACTTTTTTGTTTCCTCTTGCACCGAGCTGCAGACAGCCCTGGTGACTCAGTGTGTTACTGTGTTATTTGTACTCAGCTCTTTGATGTGCAGTATTTCCATACAACTTAACTGTGGTTGCTGTTGTGTTTGGGCTAAGAGAAAGAGTTCAGTACACAACTCAGCTTCCTTTAGGGTGTGTTCATGGGTTAATCAGAGCCCTCTTCTCCTGTTGTACTGTAAACGTTGACATCTGCACTTGTTGTTGAAACAGGTTGTGGGTTTGAGAATCAGCTGTCACAGGCTGCTGCAGCCAGGTGGACTTCTGCTGGTAGTTTTCAGATCACATGACACAAGCGTTATTAACCTTATCACAGATCAGGATGCATTAGTGGGAAACCAGGACGCCAAAACGGATACTGTTGCATGAGATGAGCCAGGCTGCGACTCGGATGTTCAATTACTATTAACGTCAGCTTGGTGTGAAACCCCCCCCAATGTCAGTGCTACCCCCTCACACAGTGCTAGCACACGGTGGCTCCCTGAGAGGGACTCGTTTCAAACTGCATTCCTCGCATCACTATCATGTCGTTAAGATGGGCTAACTGTTTGTTGTTAGCATTTTCAGCAGATAGACAGATCCGGATACAACGTCAGCTAGCTAGTGAGCCAACGTTAATCCCAATTTCTACTGGTATTAATGTCCACTGAGCTTTATCGGTAGCAGTGGCAGAGACACGTTAGTTCAATAAAAAAAGTGCGCGTGCTTCCAGGCCGATTTCATTTGCGCAGAACTACAACAAATCAATGAGCTAGCTAGCTAGCTAACGTGTTTCCCGAGGATGTGTGGGAACGCTATGTGCTCTCGCTAGCACTGAGGTTGGGCATCCACATCCACATCTTAACACAATACAGTCAGAGAAGTGATACAACCAAAGAAAACCAAGTTTAACAAAAATGAAGACATTTAGCCGAAATGTCTAGGGTATGTGTGGCCGCCTGAGAGTCTGTCTCAGCAGGCACCAGGTCAGAAACTATAATGCTAATGTTAACTAAGTTAACGTCAACGCTTCCGAAGTGGCGTGTGTTCACACTGTTAGCAGTGACAGCCGACAAACAATAAGACACGCTGAAGACGGGCTTTACCTTATATTTCCATCCCAACGGCCCGGAGAAGTCGCCCAGGTTGCTAATGTTTACAATTTAATGCCGTCGGTTAAACACTGCTGCTTTTCTTCCTCTGTATGCGCATGCCAAATGCGAAGCGCCACGTCCGGACAGCGTTTTTCAAAATAAAAGTATCAGATGACGTCATTGTGTTGGACAAGTCTACAAAATGATAACGTTTGCAAAGATTTAGAATTTATTGAAATACTCCGTTGGGAATTTGTGTTCCTATATTAATTTATTGTGGCACTTGCTATCCACCAGAGAGCAAGCCTTCAGGTTTTGGAGCCATGCCATGGAGCAGTTGTCAAACTTCTTCCACATAAGGCCTTTGACCTGCACTTGATAAGATGTTTTCTCAGTGGTCCCTGTCTGTGGGGATGTAGTTATTAACTGTCCATACTGTAGACTTCTAGTCGATGAAATAATTAAAATATTCCCCATTTTTCTACGACCCCTGGGGCCCCCCAGACCCCAGGTTGAGAAACACTGCCATAGAGCAATGCAAAGGTGGAAACTGTGCATTTGTATGTGCATTTGTTATTTTGATGAAAGTGTATGTGAGTTTTCCACAAGTTTTCCTCCTGACTAGATTCTCTAGTTTAGTTTTAATTTGAGACATGCTGGAGCTCTATGATACGCTGCAGATGATCATAGCGTTCTCTACCCAGTGAGAACAAGGATCAGGAACAAAGGAAGCCAGGCTGTTGTGTTATTGTCTCCGATGGATGACACACAGACATTATATACATTATTTTCTTTTTTTTAAATCTAGGTATTTTTTTTTACTAAAAGCATATTATAAAATGTCATTACCCGGACGACTCTGTTGTCTGCAAATATCCCTGAATAGTATGCACAACATTTTGACAAGTAACATGGATGAAAATTTGTTTATAGCAATGTAATCGACACAGCTGCTGATGAAAGTGTCTTCATTTGTGTCTCATGTAAACCTGATGGTTGTTGGAATGTAGAGCTATTTAACACAAAAATAAATATAATAACTAATAACTTACAGCAGCTTTACTTTCAGAAAGGCACATTAATCCATACCAAGACAATTTACTTACATGTACATTTTGCTTAATATTTGTACATCTTTACAGACAGACAACATCAATGGTTCCCAGTCAAGGCAAAACTGGGAAATGGAAGAAACCTTAGGAGAGGCAATTCAAGGAGAGACCCCTCCCGCCACAGATGGCCAGGTGTTCAACAGGAGCCACAGCTGAGAAAATAATGCAAATGTAGAAATGAGGAAGAGAAGGACTCCTCCTCCTGTCTGATCACAAATTTCCACCCATCAGAGCGGCCAGCTTTCTGTGCAGTCTCCACGCACTGACAGTCCCCGCCTGCAGGATGGCCCGGTGCCGTTGCTATGGAGACAAGCAGGCTGCAGGCTGGACACCATCCCATTTGGGAGGCCGTGGTGTCACATCTTCCTGTTCCTCCACCTCGCCTTTTCCCCTCCCCTTTTTGTTTTCCTCCTCTCCTCCTCCTCCTCCTCTTCTTACACTTTCTTCTCTTCTTTCCCCTCCTCTTTCCACTCCTTCCCTTCTCAACCCTCTTCCTCCTCCTCCTCCTCCTCCTCCTCCTCCTCCTCTTGATCCTCAGTGTGGCCTGGCTGGTGAGGAGCCTCATTTCATCCCATTTCTGCAGGTCGTCTTCATCACAATGGACCTCTTCCTCATAACCTTCATCGACCTCCTCCTCAAACTCCTGCTCCTCCTTCTCCTCCTCCTCCCTCTGCTCCTCGTCCACCTTTCCGGGTCTTGGCTTTGTTGGCTGCAGGCTCTGCTTCAGCAAGGTGAAGGGTGACAGCTGCTCTGGGCTGCCGTACACCTGAGGTTTCTTTAATGTTTCATAAGCACCTTGAAACAAAACAAATATCCCCCAGGGGATCAATAAAGTATTTCTGAATCTGATTCTGATTATGTGAATTAGATATACAGACGGGTGACAAATGAAAGGAAAAACCTGACTGAAACAAGACAAATGCTTTCATACATGGCCACTGAATGGTTTGATGAGTATGAAAATGACGTGAACACATGTAGGAGAATGCAGAGGGTTCCAGAGACTAGGAGGTTTGTTTTTCCTTTAAATTGTCACCTATCTGTATATTTCAAATTTTGATCAAGACAAGCTGCTTAACAGCTGTGGAGGTTGAGTAGCTGGGCCAAAACAGTACACTTCTGAAACAGAAGGCAACAGAGTAGAAGTACGGGGAGGTCCACAGGGGATTCATCATCATCAGAGTATTCATCAGAGGAGGAGGATTATTCAGAGGAGGAGGATTCATCAGAGGAGGAGTATCCATCATCAGGGGATTCATCATCAGGGGATTCATCATCTGGGGATTCATTGTCATGACAAGACTCGTCCTCACTGGGTTTATCGCCGTTACCAGATTCATCATCATCACAATCACCATCAGAATCTGAGGAGGTGTCTGTAAGGAAATTCAGGCAACAACTGTCATACATTAAGTCGTGTAACAGGCTGACATTATATTTATCCCAAATGAAATTCCCACCAGACATTACTGAAGAATCATTATTGTACCAAAGAAAAAAAAAAACTCACTAAAAATCACTTCTAGAGTCCGTCCATGAGCACTGAGATGACAATGAATCTACAGTATTAGCTTAGATTTCAAACTATATTTAGACTACAGCATGTTATCAAAGCTGTAAGCATCCGAGTCTGAGGAGTGTCTGCGTTGGCAACTACTTTCAAAGTAGTTGGTGTCCTCCTCATTCTCCAGCTGAGGGACAAATAGAGCCTTCTGACTCAGGAGGTTTTTCCAGTCAAGACCTTGGAAGAATGGGTGTGCCTTCACCTCACTGGCTCCTCCTGCATTAGACAACGTACATTTCATTTGTACATCTACACATCTTGGGCCTGACCATACCTCTCCACACATACTGTATGCTACCTCTATTTGATGTTAGAGCACAGTCATTCAAAGATAAAGAAAAGACTGGAGGCAAGCATTGCCATTTTGTTGGTTGGCTGAAGAAATTCCATTTCATAATACTTTATAATAAATAAATAATTTTATAAAATAGCTCTACACTACTGCTGTATTGTCTGTCATCATGGCTGGGTTGCTAAGGGCACCGCAAATCAGTTTGCACCCAGTGAAGCTGCTACTTGTCCTGAACAAAGTCATAGTGGTGGCATCAAATCAGCGCTCTTAGGTACTGTGTATGTGGAAATATTACTCCAGCAGTTTATCTGTCTGCTGCCACTAACCTGTGCCCAGACGTCTCACACAGTTCTTCTTCAGGAGAAGGGTAATCAGATCCTGGGCATCAACTGGCTGGGCATCTCCCCGCTGTGGCCAAGTGACCTCAGCTGGAAAAGAAGCAGATATCAGCGTTCTGATCAAGGAATCAAGGATTTCCTCTACATCACTAAAGGGACTGAATGGCAGGAACAACCTTAAAACAAATGAAAACCACATTATGGACATCACAAAGTCGGAGAATGTACATTTAAATCATCTCTCTATATTTCGAACTGCTAGCATTACAAGTGTATAGAAAGGTTGCATGTGATGAGAAGATACTGAATCGAACTAAAGATTCTTACTTCTGACCGCCTTAAAAAAGCTCTCTTTTACTGAGTGCCCAGTGAAAGGAGTCGAGCCCACCAGGAACTCATACAGAATGATGCCCATGGCCCACCAGTCTACAGGCTTCCCATAGCCTTTCTTCAGGATCACTTCTGGGGCAACGAACTGTGGAGTGCCGGATATCTGCGGTAGGAAATGGACAAGGAGAGGAAACAGAAAATGATTGTTCAGTAGAACAGTACATATAACATATAAAAAGTGGAGAAGAGAAGGGACTAGCGTCTGTGTCAGGGAACTCTCTGACAATCTTCATGATGCAGCCTTTATCCAGGTTGGCTGCCATGTTCACTGGACCAATCTTTGACAGTCCAAAGTCAGCCACCTTAATATGGCCCGTGGCACTGATCAACAGACTATAATGGAAGGGAGCAGAAAAATTGTCTGTTAGCTCATACGCCAACCCCAAAACATGGACCTAAGATTGAGTGAAAAATTCAAAAAAGGGAATTATTCCAAAACCCTAAAATGTCCCATTGGACCAAAGGGCCATTTCTCCGAAAGTGCAGTTGTCAACAGAAAAATGAAAAATGTTAAAGGTTGAGGACTGGGTTTGAGGTCTCTGTGTAAGATGCCGTAGCTGTGGATGTACTCCACAGCCAGGACAGTCTCGGCGACATACATGCCGGCCATGTCCACAGGGAGACACTTATAGTGTTTAATCAGAGAGGCACAGTCCGCACCTACAAGGTCAGAACAAGAGGGACGGTGTTTGGTCAAATGTTACGTTTAGGTCCTGTCAAGAGTACATTTTCACAAAAAGTAATTTAATTCACACAAAAAACGTGAAAATAATCAATTTACAAAATATACAAAATGTCAGTGATGGCAGTGCGACACTGAAGCTTCAATACGTGCTTCAAACCCTGCACTACAACTCCATACAACCACTGCTTCACAGCTTGCTTTGGTTCGAAAAAAATCACGTGACATATGATGTCTGAAGCAGCAACTGCTTCATTGACTGAATGAATCACCTGACTGGTTCGCTGTCCAATCAGGCGATTCACTGGCACTGCCTTGTCTCGATTCTAACAGGTGGAGACAGTCTTTAATTTGAGTGCCTTTAACACTTTACAACCACAAATGTGGAGAAATTGTGAGCAAAAAAAGAAACCGGCTCAACCCAAAAACTGTTGAAAAAATAATATAGGCTACCATAATAAAAACCTTTGAGTGTTCCCCATCCCCCCTGCCATAGTTACACAAGCACACCCAACCTATGCCATATTTCCCAGCATTCTCTCCTTCAATAACACAATACACACATTCATCAATCTTTATTTGTAAATAGAACATGATATAGATAATCATTTTCAAAGCAAAGATACTTTAAATCCAAGGGTGATCAAAGCAAAGATGCTTCAGAACAAAAGGTGTTTTCTACAAACAGTTTCTCCAATACTGCTCATTAAGGTGTGTGAGTGTGTGTGTGTGTGCGTGTGTGTGCGCGCATGAATGCGTGAATGTAATTAAAAGCCTCCTGTCCACCATCTAGCCTGCCTAATTTGACTGCAGCCTTGCACTTTCCAGGAGAGGAAAGACGGACGAACTGAACAAACTGAACTGAGACATTGGGGAAACTTAAATAGTGGCTGATCAGGCCACTCTGACACACAGGGGGAACCATAACATTTAAACAAACCATAATAACCTCAAATAATAGCCAGATAATGCGGCCAGATATTAACTTAGGAAAATACTAAAATACTAAACATCAAAAAGCATAATAATCAAAAATAACTAAACTCAAACAGGGAGAAAACACTGCCTCTCCCCATGATTCCGGCCAACATGGCACTTCCTTTGTCGGCCATGCAACATCTTAAGCAGTAGCACCCAGGAACTGGTAACTCAAAGAAAACTGAATTAATGCAATGAAAACCTGAATGAACCTAATAATACTACCCAAAATTGACAAAGGAAGTTAACTAATTGTGTGCACCCCAAGAAGACAACAGCTGTCAAAAATGGATAATAAAACTGTATTATGAATCCAAAATCTGTGTCCAGTTATTTATTGTGAATTGTGTCTAATGTTCTAAACCTAAAGATAATCAAACAAATGAAAGAGTCACCACCATGTGCTTTTGCCTCAGTGTGTGGCTGCTAGGGTGGCCATCACAGGTCCTATTAGTGTGAGTACAGTGTGGTACAAAGACCACAGATCTTTGGCTAATTAAACAAAGACACTTGTATGCATGACCAATCCAAAGCAACCTCCTTACCTCCTACATACTCCTTCACCATGCACAGGTCAGTCTTTGTTTCAAACATGTAAAACATGGTGACAACAAAGGGGTTGTCCGTGAAGGTGAGGATGTCGCGCTCCACCAACACCTGGGCCTGTAGCTTCTTGCCCTTGTTCTGCTGTTTGATCAGTTTCATGGCAAAAGCCTGACCCGTCTCCCTGTGGCGCACAAGGTTCACAGTCCTGGACGAGAGAGGGCAAACGAGAGCAACTTCTATGACTGAATATGAAAATGTCCATTTACCAACTTTAACTTAACTCACCCAAAGGCGCCACTGCTAACCGACCTGTTTGTGTTAAAGTCACTCCACTGGTTTTTTCCAAGGAGGGATGTGGGCTGTGCGGGTCTAAGTCAAACACAGGAAAATTCTTTATTACGTAAATAAACAGATTGCAAAAAGATATATACGGTGTAAGTAAAATGAAAACTTGAAGCACCCTTGTTTTTGACCTGACAGCCCTGCCTTTTACACTTCCTGGGACTGTGTCATACTTAAAATCAAAGTTCAACATGGAGTTACAGACCATAAAATGGAAGCCCATTTCAGCTAGTCAAATGAAAACTAAGATGAATAATTTAAAAAATGTTCATGTGTAGATGAAATTCTTAGATAAAAAGTCATAATTATGTCAAAAATCAAATTCTGAGATTCTTTTGACTTTGTATCTCATAATCATCTTTGTTTTTTTTCTGGTGGAAATTATAACTCGATATCATTGTTGCTATAAGAATATTAATCAGTAAAGATAAGTGACATTATAGTATGTCTAACCAACATAACATGCCTTTTTGGAATTATATTAAAGGGCATTAGGACTATTGAATCTAACAGACGTGAACCACTGACCTGATTTAGACCTGATTTATTAAGCCAACGTATTTCCTCTTTTTGCCACTTTTAACTAATAGGCTGGTTAATTTACAATGTCTGTTTTTACTTATAATTTCAGTGACAGTGGGTTTGCTTTACAAATTACAAAGACCAGGTCATGTATTGCACAGCTGTCAGTATTTTATGTGGCCCAAGTCATCATCATAATGTATTTTTATTAAGATCTTTCCAAATGAATGAGCTAGGAAGAAAATACCTAGAAGATGCTAAACACCCACCTCATGGAGAAGCTTCTCCAGTTTATTTTGCAGCTTCACAAAGCAGAGGGAGCTGACCAGACCGTTCTGGACCGTGTTGTCACAGTCCCTGGCCAGCTGGAGCAGCTGGAGCTGGATGAACCTCAGGGCGCTGGTGGCCTGGAGCAGCTTCCCGTCCAGGTTCTCTGCCACTGAGTCCATTTGGGCTGACTCCTGAGACTGAACAAAGATTTCAGATAATGATAGTTATTATTTCTATTCAGGCAGGGTTGAAATTAAAGGTTTGTGAGTAGGGAGTTGTAGGGTGATGTAACCAGGGTCTGCCATTGCAAGAATGTCCATTTTGGCATATACTGTTTAATCTACCATCTTTGTGCTATTCAGCATTTAGTTCATAAACAATTAAATGGTTCATAACACGTTGTAATGCAGTTGACATTTTACAAGTTATACTGCAGCATTTTGAATCAAGTGAATGAAAGCACATTTTAAAGGTTACGGTGGAAATGTGATTCATATGGAGAGCCTTCAATAGAAACTTGCCAATAAGGACAACGTCTTCCAGAACATTTGGTCATCAAACCAGCGGGAATGAATGCCTCGTATACCTAGTGTGTTTGACAGAATGAGATCTCAATCATGGTGTATCACATTCACATAACTTTAGGGTTCTCGTTGTTGCCAATGCTAGTTTTTGTTTAATCTGCTGTTTTCTGTTTCTTTTACTTCCTGAATAATAATTATTACTCATAAATGTAACTCTTTTATTTTTCCTTTTTTGCTAGCTGTGTTTGACCATAAATGTGAATATTTGTCGGTCCCGGTGCTGTGCTTAAAATGGACATTGCTTTATCTTGCTTCTATGTGTTATATGGAGTGCAGTCATTGTCAAGTATACACTACCTGTCCTTAAATGTCCAATAAACAGAGTTAACCCTTTATACAGCACTCATTGAAATACTTGGAAATTTTTAATTTCAACCACGGAGTGTTATTGGTGGATATAAGAAGACATTTTTTCTGTTTTGATTTTTTTGAAAAAGTCAGTTTTAGTCTGAAAATTAAAGTCAATGATATCTACGTGGGCTGGCACAACAACAATCTGGGGCACAGCAGGCCTCCTCTTCCCATAGAAGGACTGAGCAGACAGCTGCTGCAAAAGAAATATGCCACATCAATATACTATGAAAATATGTAATAAATAAGCCATAAGCGTGAACCAAGGAATTACAGTAGGGTAATATATTACTGTCACCATGAGATAATAAATCTGAAAATGATTGTAAATAACATCCAGTATTCAACAGTAGCCTAGCAGTTAGCTAAAAGGTGGTGTACCATCTCATTTGGTAAATGGACCTGTACTTGTATAGCGCCTTTCTAGTCTTCTAGTCTTCCTTTTACACTACACTTTTTCACTCAGTGATGGCAAAGCCCATCGAACAGAAACTAACTACTCTATATAGTTATAGTCAATAGTCATAATAGTCTATTTTCTTGCTTATATTCTTGAGGTATCTGTATTAAAAGGCCGTTTCATAACCAGTTAAAAACTCCTGGTAGTACACTAGAAAAATCACACTGCAAAAATACTCTATTACAAGTCAAAGTCCTGTATGGAAAGTGCTGCTGCATCATCATTTTATTAACTGATTTTTTTTCTTATCTTAATCTGCAAGGTAACTAGTAACTATAACATTCAGATAAAGTAGTGGAGTAAAAAGTACATTTCCCGCTGAAATGTAAGCGTATATTAGAAGCAGAAAATGGAAATACTTAAGCAGAACAAGTATCCTAAACTTACTTGAGTTAATGTACGTAGTTACATTCTACCACTCACACCAAGAACACAGTTAATTCCAAGAAACAAAGTCAATTTTACAAAGAAATAGACAAAATCCTTGTAGTGCAGCCATGAACTTTAATTTCCAGTATCTTTAACATCTAATGTGAAAGTCCATCTATTCCCAGTGTTCAGTTCATACATGGCTTCAACGGTCATCTAACATTCACAATCTAAGGAAACATTTACTCATTGTATTGCTTTTTGTCTGTGCTTAACATGTGCCCTACTGAAAAGCATCTTAAGTCTTTTATCCAAAATTAAACATGTGGATGTTTTGAGAACAACAGGGTTGGGCACGGCAGGTGGAGAACAGTCCAAATTAGGTGTTTGTATAACACTGCAATGAACAGAGAATTCATTTACGGTCCTGAATCCTGAATTTTCTAAAGTAGTCTTTACAGAAGCTAAATCATGTTATTATTTCTTTTGAAGTGCCCAAACTGACATCTCTATTATCCTCAAACACATCCTTAAATAAACTCTAAAATCTAACTGAAAACCAAATCTATACGCTTATGCTTTCATCATTTTCCAACAAAGTGCCTTGTCTCATCATATTCTCAAATAAATTAAATGCAAAGAAATTCATAACACATACATATTAACAAAAGTTTCATCTCACATATACCCATATTTTACTTGACATTCTCATCTGGGAATCTCTGATTGAATGAAATTAAGTTACTGATTCAACAAGTTGATTCGACAAGTGCCTTCACTTCATTTTGCAAGACATTTTCTGAATTGAAGTCAACCAATCATCACAGGTTTCTTTTCATTAAAGCGTTAATGAGTTACTCCCTAACTTCCCATTTATCATTGTCTTCTGTTTTTCGGGAGGCGGGCTGTAGATCAGGCATGGCTGACTGGCAGTTGTGTCATTGAATGTGAAATGAGCGGCTGCAGCAAAAGTGGGTCTGGAGTTTGGACTGGGGAAGTAAAAAGGGAAAAAATGATGAAGTAACCACAACAGATTAATAGAGATAGAGATGAATTACACTACATTACATGCTTTCTAAAACGATCCCAGGTTTGGAATTGAATAAACAATGCTATAAATTAGTGTAGTCAAAGTGTCATTCCTCCAGGTATGGGCCATACAATCTCTAGATAAGCATACCGGGTACATGTTTCTTACCATCCATATAAGTCAGTGTAGTGAGGAGGGGTGCGTCTGGGGAAATATAGGTTGTGTATTGCAGATCCTCCATCAAAGGTGGTGTCAGCTGACCAGAAGCAAGTGATGTCATCATGGCTGAGGAAGCAGGATTTGGGCTGATGTATTTCTTTTGACGAGCTCGACAGTTCTGAAACCAAACCTGGATGGAAGGGGAACGGATTGATAAGTGGTGCTGACACACTGAGACTTCCCTTTCCTTTTCAGGCAGAAAAATATCACACTAAGCAGCATTCTCACTGCCAATAAACAACATGAAGGGAAATTTAATTCTCAGTACAACTTCATGATCCTGAATAGAATTACTTTTTTAAATATAGTGAAGAGCAACTCCTCTAGAGGCAGTCGCAGTTGCTTTACCTGAATAACCCTGCGGCTGAGACCAGTCCTCTCTGCCAGTTTCTGCAGGGTCTGAGCGTCTGGGTTATTATCTTTAGCAAACTGAGTCTGCATCACCTGCACATGGAGAGATGACAGACACGTTTACATGGTTGACTGTTTGGTCGAGTTTGATCATGTTATTATAACAGTTAAGAAGAGCAGACAGAGGAGTCAGAGTGCTCGGTCTGTGTTCGACTACAATGCATTAACTACATTAACTACCACTAGAGGGCAGAAATGATCTAAACAAGGTGAAAATCACTGGCTTGCACATTTGTTACATTAACCTTCAGCAGACACAGAACAAATCTAAATCAAAGAGTCACTCTCCTTTTTACTCTGTTTGGACTCTTGAGAATTTGCCCGAGGTCTTTAGCTTGCTGAAATATATTAATGATATGGGATGAGCAGATGTAATATACACAATAGCAAGGTGTAGTCTTATATTCAAAGACAGCCATAGTGTAATCTGATCTATTACTTCAATAGGAAGCCACAGTAACCCAATAGTAGAGCTGAGCATCTGCTTAGGGAAAGTGTTCAGTGGCTACTGGTTGAGGACATCCCTCTGCAGGGGGCATTGTCCACAGTGGGAATGAAAAACAGCTCAGTACACACACACACACACACACACACACACACACACACACACACACACACACACACACACACACACACACACACACACACAGTTGGCAGTACCTGTAGTTGGTCAACAGTGAAGCTGGTCCTGGCCCTCTTAGCAGGTCTGGGCATGGTGCTGGATTCATCTTTGTCTCCCACCTCTTCCTCCACTTTTGGTTCCTCTTTAACACACGACACAGGGCATGTTACAAGGATCGTTTGACATTTGGAAATATAGGCCCTGTTTCAGATGACGTCCTCCTGTGGCCAACCTAACCAAGTTTGAACTTTAGCGAAATCAAAGATGTGTACCTGAAGACACGCAGCTCTGTTTTGTATAAGATCAGGTTGTATTGTTGTCCGATACGAGCGTGCAGGCATTTTTCCATTTACTGTGTGACAGAGTGGCAATGGGACGATTGGATTGTCTCACTGTAATAAAGTGGAGACTGCTGCCATACAGTTGTTGTGTTTACAGTTGTTCATCCACTGTGATGAAGGTTTGCAGTGGAGATGGGTTAATGAAAAGGAGCTTCCTTAGTGTTGTCTTCACAATCAACAATAATGTGTTACATTACAGTTTCAGTTACAGTGTAGGTATAGCAGCTACTTGCTGGCTAAGCTGTTTATGTTAATAGTGATGAATGAGTACACCATTATCTGTATTTGTATCTGTACTCAGAATGGGCAGGGTGGGGCTATATGTACTGATCAGAGGTTACTATATTTATCAGAAACATATTTACAAAACAATCTCAGAATTGAGCTAGAGAGTGCTGATACTGTGCCATTTTCATTTGCGTTTCATTTAAACTAATTGGTAACACTTGTGTAGTTTAAATTTAATCTACAAACAAATATTTTGATAAAGTCTGTCATGAGGCTGTTACAAACACTGAGGCAGTTTGTTATGTCCTGATTGTCCTGATTCGTTTATTCACCAAAGGCAGCATTCCTAACCTAGTTATAAATGGTGCGTGCCTTGGTTTTACCATGTTGTCTTGTATTCATAATCAATATACCCACTCTGTGTGTCTTTTCTTTGTCCTGTCATCTATCCACTCACCATTTTCCTTAGCACGCTTGATATTCTCCATCATGATGTCATAGTGTGGCCGGCAGAAGACCCTGTTCTCTAGGAGTCCACATTCCTCCCCAGTGGACAGCTGGCGCTTACAGGAGGTGCAGGAGAAACAGGCCAGGTGGAAGGTGCTGCCTCGGGCCCGGCGCACCCAGTCACTGGAATGGATGTTACGGCCACAGCGAGCACAGCGGGTCCCATATCTCCTGGAGAAAGATGGCAAACAGGAGGAGGGGTGGAGTGTGAGGAAAAATAAGCCACTTTAGTTGAGATGAGGTGAGCTGTGATTAGGTGATTGATCAGTGATAGTTCAGTAATATTTAGTAAAGCAATGGATCTATAAAAAGGAGATTTTCTGACTAAGTCACCCATTTCCCCCTCAACTTGACACGACCCCTTCATTTTACCAATAATTACACTGACCTCCAGCCTGTGCTTAAAATTAAATTTCCATTAAAACTTACTTCTACTTCTGTGCCAATTACATCTACAGAGATTCTAGGTTTCTCCTGCCCACGTGTCAGAATGTGTTACATGTGTAACTTTCAATGAACTATTAGATATAGGCCTATCACAGATATATTGGTACTGGTGTATGTTTTACGAAATGCACCAATATGACAACTTTTTTGCAGAAGATACAGCGCAGAAAATGATGCTTGGGGTGTTTTTCCAGCAGAGCATGTTCCCGACTCTACTGTTAACAATACTGTCACCATGCGGACACATCAAGCAGTGTCTTCAATAGCTATTTTCCCCTGTAAAAATCAGTATTGTCTTAAAAATCCCATATTGTTCAGGCCCATAAGTAATCCCTGTAGGAGCAATACCATTCATTTCACCCAAGAGATAAAGCTGTAATACAGCCCCACAGATTCAATGTCATGCATTTCGATACAAACTCAGAGCTTGGCCTGTGGAAAAGCTGTTCTCGACCTCCACTCCCATGAGTCATCTCAATTTATGTTCCATTCAAACACTTACTAATCCAATTGTTAACTGTTAGTCAAAATAAAAACATAGCACAAATGAAAGAAATGTTCAAAACTGTTGCAAAGTACAATAAAAAAAGAGCCTGCACTGCTGACAGTATTTTCTAACTTATCAGATTTAGCAGACTGTGCTGAGGCCTGCTTGTTCCAACAATCACATGTCCATGTCCAGTTTGTTTGTATTCTCCATTCTTAAACACAGAGAGCACACGAAAGACTTCTTTTAGACCATGGGGCAACATGTCACCATTACTCTCCCTAATGATATAGTTAGATATAATAATGTTAGGTCAAGAAGACTAAAAATAAAATTAAAAAAGAACTTAGATATGAAGCAAAAAATCCATCAAACATCTGTGTTTTCTTTTCCTTACATGAGGGTAGATGTTTTATAATTTATGAAACAGGGTCAGCGGAGATAAAGTTGTGTTGGGTCTCACTTACCTGAAGTAGTCGAGTTTGCAGAACACTTGTTTATCCTTAATGTAGCAGCTCACGTGCCGGCCTAGTGATGTGTTACACACACTGCACGAGAGGCAGCGCACATGCCAGCACAAGTTGTTCACCTAAGGTGAGGAAAGAAGGTGAGATTTTAACAAAATATGGCTTATAATTACTATTTTACACATCCTTTAATAGTACAATTAATACTAGTCTTATAACTGACGGCAAAATAGTTTGCTCATATTTCTGACAGCAATTTATTTTATTGGAATGACTTAGTTATTTGTATAATCAGTGATAGAAACACTTTTTGGGGAAAAGTGGAAAAAAAAAATCTGTTCCATTTTAATTACGAGTATAGTCCGAAAAAAGCAAATTTGACCTCGGGTTCAAAGAAGGGGAGACAATTGCAACGTTTTCCTTTATAACTCACAGACTACTTGAAATACAATATATTTTTATATGACAAGCATATATTTGCACTAATTAATAATACAATTGATAGGCTATATTTTTACTAATGAGGTTCTTATACCCACCAAGTACCCTGAATCTGTGCCTTACATTAATTCACATCCCTTGGATTATATTTTGCACATTACAAATATCGTTTTGTGTCACACAGCTAACTTACAAATTCTCTGGACAAACTGCAGGGCTCTTCATGTATTTAAATAACAGTTATATTGTACATATTGTTTCTCTTTATACATTTGTATATATTGTTTCTGTTTATCTGCTCCATTTTATCTTTATTAATATTTTTATATGTTTATTGTTATGCACCAAGGTGAATTCCTTGTATGTTAAAACCTACTTAGCAATAAAAACGATCTAATCTAATAAAGATCTAATTAAATGATCTAATAAAGGATAAGACTATATTATTATTATTATTATTATTATTATTATTATTATATTATTTTTCTTTTTTTTTATAACGAAGACTGTTCAAATTGCCCCATGTCTCTCCTTCTTTGATGCAGCAGTGAAAATGTTCATCTTACCAGGAGTTACAAACTACATTTCTCTTAAATTGTCTTATTCTTTCGTTTTAAGAAGGAAAAAATTACTCAGCAGAAAGAAGAGACAACATCGAAATAAAATAAAGACACTGGACTAAAATGTTTTCTCACATTAATTGCCGACTTGTTCTAAAGGCCTAGCTTTGCCTGTTGTCAGGGACATCTTGCCCTGATACAGTGTGTCAGTCTGACCTTGAGCAGGTATCGGTCCACTATCTCCAGGCCGCAGGAGGTGCACAGGGATTTGCCCTGCAGGGAGGCCACAGTGGGGACGGAGGAGGACGAGGACGAGGAGAGGGAGGACGGGGAGTAGCAGTCGTCCTCGAAAATATCATCAGGCCCAGAGGAACCCTGTCAGAGGCAACAGTCTGACAATGTAACAACACCTTATAGAAGACTTTTAGACAGCATGTCAACGAAAACAAAGCCTCAATTTTAAAATGTGTGAAAACTAAAAAAGGTTTCAAACGAGGCTGTTTGGCTAGCATAATATTTGCAAGAGTAAAAAGCTCAAATGTTTTACTGTTTCATTTATTTGGCGGCACTTTGAAGTGCGCGTACAGTGTCGCGAGCTACATTTCGCCTTAACTTTTCACTCTTCCTTTAAACTTTACCCCACGCCTGTAAGCTGTGAGAAAGGTCGTTCATTTGAGACCGAAAACACCTACTGTGTCGATAAAAATATTTTCCTGTTGTAGCTGAGTGAAAACCGCCTCCGTCGGCCGCCTTTCTCCCTCCGACATGGTGTCAGCGACAGACTGATGCGGGAGACACAAAGACGACCCGCAGGGCTAATGTCCCGTTCACATCTCCATGACAACCGCCGTCATTACCCCACTCACTAATAAAGGTTACCCCAAAACCAAATGTTCGCTCATAGGCATGTTTGTGCCGTTATGTTATTTATGTGCGGTGGTGTGTCGGCCCGGGCTCAGTGCTGCGGTCCACGTATTCACTTTGTTGTAGAAGTTTTAACCGGTACTTCCAGCCAGAATAATGTCTAGGCCTACATGTGTATAATTATCGAGTCCTGTTTGTGGTTCATTTGGCCTCGCTCACAGCTGAACGTGATTCTGACTAATTGAGTTCAGCCGCGCACGTGCGCATGATAACGAGCCGTCAGCCGGGCGCAGGTGAGTCTGACTGAGATTCACCTGCGCTCATCTGACAGCGCTGCCTCCTCCAACAGCAGCTCAACACACACACTAAAATGTGTGTGCTCAAATCGAAAGAATTACCAACAAGTAGCTTCCATATTTAAATGAAATCACAACTTCATGTTATATTCTGGATGAAAGGAATAAGTGAATGTAACAATGATCAGAGATATAATATATTAATGCAGGCACAGCAACCAAGGCCGTGATGTGTTGCACTTTTTGGACTGACCTCTCTCTAAGAGAGAACCTAATGCTAAAACCAAATTATTATCAAGGACTGCATCCTGAAAGCACTGACCCTGTATTGTGTTTTTGGCATTTATAATATGAACTGTTAATAAATGCTAAATACAGTAATAGCCTGTATTACTATAACCTCCACATTGGTAATGTCACTTTCTGTCTGCTTTCACTGTATATATGTGGGGATATAGCCTAATGAGTGGGGGGACAGTGGCTCTTTAAACCACTTACACTCAGAATATCACCTCTTTATTCCCAGTATTTTAAAACAAGATTTTAAAAAATGCAGAAAACGAATGAACACTGTGTAGGCTATAAACAACAGGGCAACATAAATGAACATTTCATGTAAGAAAAGTTGTAGAAAAGAAGCAAGAATGATGCTTGTTTAGTTCTATTCCTATTGAATACCATCATCAATACCCAATAATCAATCAATATTAGCAGAAACTATATAATAATAATAATAATAATAGTAACACTAATAATAATAATAATAAAACAACAAAAAATAATAATAATAATAATAACACTAATAATAATAATAATAATGATAATAATAATAATAACAACATTATGTCAAGTTAATTGTGCAATACAGTATCTGTGACATGATAAAAGGTTTGGGTTTCTCCCAAACTGTAAAATTAATTACGTTAGGTAAAAAATAAAATAAAAAACAAATAGAAAAAAATATTTGTTGGCTTTGTTTTTTTGTTTTTTTTAGCAGTATTACTTTTACATTTATTACTACAAACCCACAGCTTCTAGTAAAACTTGTTTTAAAGTTGTAGCTTTGGAAAGCAGAACTATTTATACAACACACTCACCACACTGTTGGACACAGAGTTAAACATTTTCAGTGAAACATCTGCCGACTCCTCCGGTACATCCCCGTTCATTCAGCCAGATGTTTTTATTCCACAGCAGCAGCAGCAGCAGCAGCAGACTGGGAGCCTGGTGTTATTAGTCCACTGTACTCCAGCTTGTCAGCCCTTACTCTCCTGAAGACTTTGTTTACTCACCACAGAGCTACAACTCCGGTCTTAAAGCAGCTCAGTCACCTCCCACTGCTGGCTGACCCGCCCTGCTGCATCAATGAAATGGCAGGACTTTATTGTGAGGATCACATTTTCTTTTTTCTTTCATTTTTCTTTATTTCTTTGTTTTTCTTTGTTTTCCTTAATTTCTACTTTCTTTTTCTTTCATTCATTCTTTTATTCTTTCTTGCCTTTTTCATTCCTTCTTTTTCTTTTATTGTTTCTTTCTGTCTTTCTTTTTTGTAGATTGGAAAATATGGGGAGGTTACTGATAGTTTAAGGCAGTAGAAAAAAGCAGATTAGTTCAAACTCTTTTTATTGCTATCAAGGTGAAAGCTCATAAATTAGAAAATCAATCAGAAAACATTCAAGAAACTACTTAACAGGATTTATATGATCATATTCTCCAAAGCCCACATAGACTGCTGTGCTTTAAAAAAAGAAATCTTCTTAAAAAGTCAACTTTCAGACACTTTTTCCTGCGAGAGGTTTTTTGGTTCTGCCCAGTCTGACACTATCAGTATTCCTCATCTTTTCCTTTCTTGCCATCAGGGACATTATGAACAGGCGCAGGTTGAGTTTGGGGACTGACTTATATTTCTTCAGACATCCACACCGTCTGACCAGCAGCACTCTCAGGGCAGATCACCAACACAGCAAAGTTGTTGATTTAATCCCTCAAACCTGTTCAGCATAGATCAGAACAGTCTCAACATTTACTATGTACCTTCACAGCTGTAAATAAATACACCCAATCTTGTATAATACATTGTATAATTTCCCTAACCTCCATCATTTAAGACTTTTTGACTTAAGCCTTTCGAGGATTTGCTATTTGCCTGTTTTTCAGCTTTAAGGAACTGTTGCATGGCAGTGCCAAGTAGTCTCCCCCTCTTCAGAAAACCGAGAGTGCTCTTGATTTTACAGGGCACCTCCTCTTCCATGATTACCTTGTCAGACTTTAAGTGAAGGCGACGGCTAACCAAAGACTGGGGTCAAAAAGGCATGAATGAAAACATTCTCAGAGAGTACTTTGTGAATGGCAAAGCAAAAATCCCTTTGGGTCTTATCTGCGCATATACGTCTGCAACCCGATACTTCAGTCCCCCAGCCTTCTGTACCGGGTCCTTAGGACATAATTTAATGGTGTGGATGTGTGTGGTAGACTGGGTTTAACCTCTAACATAACAGAAATGTGCAAAGCTAGCTTTTAAAACTGCATTGTCACTTTTAATCTGAAAACTGAAGGAGTCAGCTCCACAAAAAACTGTATCATTTATAGACTGAGCTCAAAAACAAATCCTGATTTTGCAATTTTATCAGCCTCAAGATTGAGCCGACTCTTCTTTTGAACTATATTTACTAATATGTAATTAATATTATAAATAACAGTTTCAGGGAAGTCAGATCTTTCAGACAGACACCGTGTGGAGTATTGTGATTCTAAAATGCAAGATTTTTCACTGTGTCACAGTCACCAACAAGTTCACAAAATGTGTTACGGTTAGGGTTAATTTTTGGGATTCAGAATTTTTTTCTGAGCTTGACAAAAAAGGCGAAAGTGTAAACAATATTAACTTCACTTTTTTGTGGTAGGAAATAATTATATCATTTTCAAAAAAAGCACAATGGATGTTGTGAGTTTTATACAGACTGGATTTATATCCTTTATGGCACTGTTCATTTAACTCATGTAAAAAGGCTCCAAGGCCTCTGAATGAAATGGAAATGTAAGATAAGCCCCCCAGGTAACTTAGTTTGATACAAACTTTTTGGCATGAACATATGCAGTCTTTCTGCATTGAGGGGGGCACAGTGGTTATCACTGTCCCCACACACCAGGATCAGTCCATGGGTTCAGTTGGTAGTCTGATTGTCAGTTCTGGGTTTGTGAAGGTGTCATGTCTGCTGCTGTTGTGCCTTTTGTACAAACCCTTCCATCACCTTTCACCAGTTCTTCTATTTATTCTACAAAGTCTGCAATGTGTGCCACATTTTGTCCACTGGAACTGACCTCACTGTGGGTGATGAGACCCGCAAATAGAAAATTTGAATCTAACCAGTGTTGAATTTCTGTTGTGTGACTACTGTATATTAAGTCATTGTTGAGTTTGTATCTTACAGCAGTGCTGTCAAGACCACCTTTGTCCAGTCTAGGACCAGCACTAGTTGAGTCCAAGTCAAGGCCAAGTACAAATGAGAGATACAGAGTCAAGTGAGATGGGTTTTGGCAGCCAGGCATATTATTGCTACAGTGGTACTACAGCACCGTCTTACAGAGGTGTGCACTCGAGTCCCAAATCTACTGACTGAATCTCTGACTCAACTTCACAAAATCAAAAAAAAGGCTTGCAAGCCGACTTGGACTTTAACACCAATGACTCATGACTTTCCTTTTGACTTGAAAATACTTGATACCTTCCCCCAAGACCAAAGATTAAAAAGTATGTCATTGAAAATGGTTTAGAAAGCTATTAATTCCCAGTAAGTTGACACTTAATTCCCCAGTTCCACTCCGTCAACATCTAATCTGGTTGCAGGCGAGAACCTTGAAGAATGTCACGTTACTGAGCGCCAGTTGGAAAAAGTGATACCAAAGATAATTTTGTTTTGTTCGTTCTGTTGTTAAAATGTCATTACATTTGGTTAAGAGCACATTACAACTTGTTTAGGCCTTGAAACTCAAAGTTTGGGACTTGGGACTGGAGTGCAATGACTTGACATTTACAGAGACTTGCAAAACAATGACTTGGTCTTTTATCTTACATTTATTTAATGTAAAGTCACACATTCCTATTTAGGAGTAAAAACATTCAAAAAATAATAATATTTTGTTCAAATATTAAAAAGTAAAAAAGATGTGTGCTTGTTCCACAAGGAAACCAACTGCTTTAATTTAGACCGGAAATAAAACCCTTCCCCAATGTGGCAGACCCTGCCACTCCACTGCTCCCTAATCCAGCCCTCCTCAAGGGTTGGAGGGTTTAGGACAACACTACTATGGAAAGCATCTGCTGATTTATAAGAAGAGAGGACAGGAGTGTTTGTTTGGGCTGGGAGCATTGTTAAGGATTCTTGTAATTTTGTTTAGACCACTTAGTTTTCCCTCCGATAATTGCTACAATACAGTCTGGTTTATAAACCTGTCAGTGGTACTAGAGACTTCAGCTCAAGTTAATTGCTGGGGAAAATAAAAATGGCCGCTAGATTGATGAATCTGCCTGCACTTCCAGCCAGTTAACATGAACGCTTTAATGCCTTACCTGGCACAATTACACAAAATTAAGGATATTACATAGCTGCTTTTCATTACCATTTGTTTAAAAATGTCAATGAGTTAAGAAGGTCTGAGAGCTCTGAACATCACACACACACACATACACAATGCAGACACCTGCTCCTTTAGGAGAGTGGGTGGATAATTTAGCTGTCAAACCTGGTTAAAGAGCCATTCACAAGGAGAATTAATGTCATTTTTATAATTTACCCTGAATCTGCCTAAAAGTATAAAAGTATATAATAAGATTCATGCAAATGTTAGCACTGATGTAATCA